TTGTAAGTGAAGACTTGTCATTGGCTGTCAGACTCTCACACAATTTCTTACTTTTTGTTTTGTTAGCTGTTCGTCTTCCAAACATGTTAAATAAATAAATAAATAAATAAAAATAAAACTATAAGGTATTTTATATCACCAAAATTCAAATATGTCTTATAAACGTATCATGAATCTTATCAAAAGAAAATTCATAAATTAATTACTTAATTATTATCTTAAATTAAGTAAAATAAAGAAAATAGAACTCACAGCAGCCTTCATGTTATCAATGTGTTGGTTGGACAAGCACTAGTCATGCACCGGCGCCTGCGCACCTTTTAACGTCCTGCCCGGCCTCGTACCACGGCACTCGTTGCACTTTCCGAAACCCCTCGCGAACCCCCTACCACGAGACAGTACACGGTACACACACAGTACAAAGACGTACCTAGTACCTACATAGGTAACCTCTACACCAACCCGAATGGAACCAACTTTTGAGGAAAACGATACGAAAATGTTATCTGTAGACAACTCTCATCCCGTCTGCGACTATTTTTAGTGGAGTTTGGTTATGGTTTGAGTTTTCTAAGTAAGTGAAAACTTTTTCAACTAGAGTGAATAGACACCAGTTTCTGTCTATTGATAGCAATTTCGCACGTAAATATACTGAGAAAAACTCTCCTACACTCGAGTTACAGAGGGCTCTTCCCCATGAGCAGTGTGCGCGGTCACGGCGATGTTGCGCAGCCTACTTAATTGTTTTTTATTCAATGGTTATTTTTAGTTAATGCAGTATGTCCTAATAGATCACGAAGTTATTAACATTTATTTCTGTGCCAAAATTTAAACTTTTAGACGAAGCACTCACTCACATGAAGGAGAACTTTTATTATAACTTACGTGAGAGTCGCCGCATCGTGTGTTGCCGAGTGAATTTGATGAGCCCTTGGCGTGGCTTGAAACTAGCCAAGGTCCTCGTCAAACACATACCATAATAACGGAGGAGGATGTTAAGTAAAAGCAACTCCCTCGCGTGGCTCATCGTGCAACACGTGGTAATGTAATTAGTAACTCTAAGAGATTCATCGAATAAGGCGTTTCTTTATTAGAGTAACCACGCCAATACATTGTACCTACAACAACTGTTACACTTATTGCAGTTGCATAATTTGTGCTATTTCAGTGTACTGTGATGTATGCTCGTTTGATGGGTCTATACCTAGATAAACAAACAAACATGCATACATACACAGATACATACATACATACATCATAATAAAAAAATGTCACAAGACATCCACTTCTGCACTCAGGCGTCCCCCAATGGCTTCCAGATCGGCCAGTTGAAAGTGACCTGCATCCAGGGGCTCCCGGCGACCTTACTTAGATCATCTGTCCAGCTTATGGGTGGAGCTCCTACACATTCTTGCCAATAAATTTAGATAAATACAGAGGCCCAATATTTCACCCTGTCCCTCGTCCCCCGTCTCCTGTTTCTAATCCTCAAAACTGACAAAAGGCTGCCAACAGAAATGTAATTCATCTGGTCTTGCGACTATCTATGGATGGCGTTCATTGCTTTCCATCAAATAATTTGTCTAATCAGTTGCCCCCTATATAACCATAGAAAAACGGTAAAAAGTTAAATGTAATTCAACAATTTCCTTAAGTTTTAGGTGTGTTTTTTGCCAAGCAGTTGTAGTATTACCATTAACTCCGAAGTTACAATTTAATCTGCATAAAGTTTACACATACAGAAGTAGAATGTACATACATTTCCGTTGGAACACTGATATTGAGCAAGTTATACCTACTGCTGTACCTATGCTTAGAGATATATTTGACTATTTAATTAAAAAATAAAGGCTAACTCCTTGAAAGTAAGTGTGGGAGAGCTATGTTTCGGCACGAATGGGCCGGCTCGACCGGAGTGATACCACGGGCTCACAGAAAACCGACGTAAAACAACACTTGCGTTGTGTTTCATAGTGTTAGTGGTTACCGGAGGCCCAATTACCCCCCAATTTCCCCATCCTCGAATCCCCAAAAATCCTTAAATTCCTAATCCCCAAAAGGCCGGTAACGCACTTGTAACACCTTTGGTGTTTCGGGCGCCCATCGGTTCGGTGCCAATTGCTTACCATCAGGTGATCCGGCTGCCCGTTTATTGGATAATTCCATAAAAAAATATACATTTATTGCAACAACCTCCTTTCTTGAGCGTTGCATGACCGACGACCGACGAGCTACGGAGCTGAAGCTATGATAAAATCTTATGTCATCAATATCATTATCAAATTATAGATGGCCCTAGATCATACGTAGATCAGATTATAGAGGGCGGTCATTCACCATAAAGTCTCTACTATACTGAGTAAAAAGATCCGTCGCGCTGGCGACCACTCGAGCAACGAGCAATGAGGTACTCGACGTACAACATACAATCACAATAAAAATTAGTAACCTTACTAGTAAACTGTGAACACTAGCACCGAGCACTGGGCGTAGGTTCGGCAGGTCCCACAATAGAGCACAATGCATTCGTGAGAGCGGACCATTGTTCGGGCGTTATATTGATTGGCCAACCTCACTGTTGATTCACGAGTACACCGCTCCTCGATTGTCGGGTAACACTACGTAACTCAACTTCTTACTGCCCGCCATTGTCAATGGAATACTATTCGTCTGGTTTTTATGTATCTAACGTACACCGTAACTACCTGTAATTAATGAACATAATGTCATAAAGATATTATGTACTCGTTTTACAATCTAAAGGCGTTCGTTGAAGGTAAAAGGAAATTACAAATATTATACGCCTAGCGACATTTGTGTCAAATAATATCTCTAGGTATAGATGATATGAGTCATCATCATCATAAGCTTCCACGGTACACTTCCAGGCCGGTCGATTTCGATCGATAGCAAACTGCATCCAGCGGCTTCCTGTGACCTTTATCAGGTCATCAATGCACCGGTACTCGTTCATGTATTAATGACTGCACGGTTGGCGCGGTGGTTGGGCAACTGACTGCCGCGCAACGTGTCGCGGTTTCGATTCCCGCACGGAACAACTCTTTGTGTGATCTACAGATTGTTGTCTCGGGTCTGGGTGTAAACGCACCCACAACACTAAATCCTAGTGTGGGACAACGTTTTTTTTTAAACCAAAAATCTGAAAATATTTTATGTAATATCGTTTAGATGTTGATGATGTCATTGTGGGTAGATACAACAGACACGTAAAGCCAAAACTAGAGAATGTACCGTATGTGATATGTGAGATATGTCCGTATGTGCACGATATCTATTTACCTCCTTATGATTAAACGGAGCATGGTTTTGCTCGTATTAGTCAACTACTGAAGAATGTTTGCTTGTAAACAGTCGTATAAGGCAGGTTAGTGATACGGTTGCCAAACGTCCCGCGCACATGTCCGCACCATTGCACTGCTTATTATTGAGCATTGGTGGTGCAAAACTCGTGTATGGTAACGTTGTTTGCAGTACTTATTACACAGACATCACTCATACTCATTGACATACTGATAATTAAGCTGTAGCTACATATAAAAGCATACTTGGAGCATATAACCAGCACTTACCTAAATGAAATATTCTAGTTTAAGTTTTAGTAATGTGTAAACACTTGATTGCGTGATTTCAGCCTTGTGTTAAGTAACCTACGGTTGATATCTCAGGCCATTCCTTTCTAATGTGTGACTTGTCAGGATATGTGTACAGACAGACATACTGCCTGTCTTACTACGACACTGCTCCCCTAAGGTCTGCAGCCCTACAGTGGTCATATTTCAGTATACATAGGTCGTGTTAATGTTGTGCTCACGACTTTAATCTCGGTACCGAGTATGCTGCGTACAGTGTACTACATATTGAGTTGTGTCCGTTTCGTATCAGTTGGAAATAGAAATATTATGTTTATTTTTATTTAGATTTAGACTAGGGATTGACCCAATTTTTAATGAATTAGTGTACTTAGGTATATCAAGTCAAGTGCAAATCCTGTAGGTCGTACTTAGTTGCCCATATGCGAGGAATGTAAGACAATTATTATTAAGTAAACATTAACGTTTTATACGTTTTACCTTAAAAGACTCTACTTAGGATAAATAAGCGAACATTTATTACATTTACATATACATAGGTAATTTGCCTATAATTTGGTTAAATGTAATTATGCAGCTGTGGCAGCCACCTGCGGCGTATACAACGTATGTATGTTTATGTAAGTACATGTGTGGTTCACTAGCGCAGGACCTGCGCGTGCGCATGCATGTCCTGTGGTACGCGGCACACGTGCTGCCCGGGTCCGCGTCCAAACCTATGATTAGTGATTTATATATGTCACCAGCCACTAAGATATTGCTAAATCAACGTGACATTCCACTGTTAGGTATATTGATTGCTATATCCATGAACAGCTCATGATTTAATAATATATTGTAGAACTTTTTGGTAGGAGACTTGAAAGGAATGGCCATTATTGTGAACCCCTTTCATTCTTGGATGGATATTATGAATAGTAAGTATGGCATGTAAGTACGTCACCCAGAAATTAATGCGCAATAAATGTAAACAACGACAAATATTAAAACATTTTATTTTGTAAAAAAAATAAATAAATCTCTCTTACAGCTATGTTAATAACTTAAAGCGTCTAATGTTATTAGGCAATACATGAACATATAAACTATACATATGTACAGAGCGGACGCGCGCCGGTGTGCACGCCGCGCGTCCCACGCCTCCGCAGCCGCAGCTTCTACTGCTGACTCCTGGCTTGTACGTCGTCAGCTACAACTAGTCATACTGTAATGTCTTCACTGTGTGTTACGATAAACTCTGCAGAAAACACTATTACGTATCAATCGGTTCGAGTCGTAAACTATTTGTTATCGTTGCAATGCAGGGCAAGTAGAGTCAGCAGAGCACACCGACCGTCACTTGTCGAGGTAATAGTAAATGCTGAGGTGGAGTGGACACTGCGCGCCACCCTATCGGAAGTGTTCGAGCGGCCGGTCCAGCGGCGGCTGCAGCATCAGCGGGATGTGGTTGTGGTACTGCGGCTCCTCCTCGCCCTCCCCGCTGCTGCGGCCCTCAGCTCCCTGCGGCACGCCGTACTCCGCGGCTGGCTGCTGCTGGCTAAAGTCCTGACCAAAGTTTTGGGCTTGTTGACTAAAATCCTGTCCGAAATTCTGTCCTTGTTGATGGTAGTCATGCCCTTGTTGCGCGTAGTTCTGCTCTTGCTGACTGTAATCTTGTTGCCCAAAATTTTGTCCTTGCTGTCCGCTTTGACCAAAGCCATCCTGTCCAAACTGTGGAGCTCCGTACTCCTGGGCGGGTCGATGATGTTGATCATATTGCGCCTGCTCGAGCTGCTGCTGGATGTGATGCTGCAGTTGGTTTTGGTAGTCGTGGTACTGCTGGTCCCCAGTGTGCTGTTCGTATACCTGTGTGCCTGGCTCTTGAGAGAACTGGTGGTGACCGTCTTGTCCAAATTGACCTTCCTGCCCAAAGTGAGCACCTTGGCCAAATTGACCATCATGTCCAAAATGGGTTCCTTGGGCGAATTGACCTTCTTGGGCGAATTGACCATCTTGAGTGAATTGGCCGTCTTGATTAAATTGACCATCTTGGCCAAATTGACCTCCTGCCTGACCTGAGCTAATATCATGAGGTTGAGTTTGAACTGGATGCCAACCATCTTGGTCAAGCGCCGGATGAGTGGGTTGGAGGTTCAAAGTTGGCTGAGTGGGTAGAATACCTGGTTGAGCGGCATGTAGCACACCAGGTTGCAAATGTACTTCTGGTTGACCTTGATGAAGATGAACTTCTGGCTGACCTTGGTGGAGATGAACTTCTGGCTGACCTTGGTGCAGGTGAACATCTGATTGACCTTGATGAAGGTGTACTTCTGGTTGACCTTGATGAAGGTGAACTTCTGGTTGACCTTGGTGTAAGTGAACTTCTGGCTGGCCAGGTTGCAGGTGGAATGTCGGTTGGCCTGGCGCCAAATGAACTTCAGGTTGGGCTGAGTGCACGTGAACTTCCTGCTGACCTGGGTGTACGTGTAGTTCAGGTGTCAAGTGTACTCCTGGTTGAGCTGGCTGCAAATGTAAAGTTGGAGTAGCAGGTTGCAGGTGTACAGCATGCTGAGGAATTCCTCCGTGAGCTTGTAAGTATGTCGGTTGTATGTGAGCGCCGGGCTGCTCAAATACTACGCCCTCCTGATTACCTTGTGGAGCTACATGGAAGTGAGGCACTTGAGGACGCTCATACAATACCTGGTTGACAGCAGGACCAGCTTGCGCTAACGGGAACACGGGGGCTTGATAGTTTAGTAATGGGAATCTTGGGTATGTTGCGAAGAAAGAAGTCTGGACTGCATTACCAGGTCGTAAAACGTAGGGGAATTGACTGGCATATGGTAAGAGTGGTGCGTAAGGGGGTTGAGCAGGAAGAGGTGTGGCTGGCACAACAGGTCTCAGGTGTGCCTGTGGAAATAGATGAGTGTGAGCTAGGGCTGCAGCTGGAAAGACAGGAGCTGGAGCAGGCAGGGGTGCAGGTGGTGGGAGAGGAGCTTGATGTAGTAGCACTGGAGGAGAAGGTCCTGGTTCAGGACGAAGAACTGTAGCTGTAGGTTGGCCTACTGGTATTACAGGAGTAGCAGGCACAGGGGCCGGCACCACTGGGACTACAGGCACCACTGGCTTAGGAGCAACATGATGATGATGGTGGTGGAAGTGATGGTCTGGCTTTGGCAACAACACTGTTTTTGTTTGATGAGGGAATTTAAGACCATAGTGTGGGTGAGGTACAGGTACTTTATGTCCCACTGGCACAGGGTACCGAGTAGACAATGGATGAGCGAGAGGGACCTTTACAGCGGCCACAGCGGCTGCGGGAGGGTAGGACACTACTACTGGCTTTACGACAGAGTGTGTCACTACGGGGATGTCGTAGCCTAGTTTGTAAGGTGGCACCGCCGTCAGGACTCCTCGTTTGTGGTGTTTGGCCTTCGCTAGCCGTCCTATTAACTTCGCCTTGGCAGCCTTCAGATGCACTACATCTGCCACGGACAGGCACACGCACGCGCACACCACCAACGCGATCTGAAAGACACCACGCACCATGTTAATTATAATCCGCACTGATCACGATCACTGTCACTGTCACGATATTGCACTTGGTTCCGGAGCCGGCTGCTCTCACTCTGCTATACTTACGATTGTAAGTCTCATGTTGACACAGTCGCCCGACCGGCGCGACAACCACTCACAAACCGATTGCCGCCGGTCTCTTCCACCCATACTTATAACTTAAAACATATCAAATTAGTATGTAGCTGGCGTACAAGTTTCACTAGCCAGCCGGACGTGCCTGTTGCGAACTTCGTCCTTACGCGATTATGCTTTCGATCGTTCCTAAACAAATGCAACTAAATTCTTCTTCCGATTTACAATGACATGATATTGAATCCTATGACTGACACATAGAGTTGAATTTGGCAAATGTTGGTTACGATTTAGGCAGCACGTAGGTGGCTGCCGTCATTCCTGTGTAACAAGTGTGCGTACGCGCATTTCAATTGATCAAGAAACGTAATCGAGAGAAAATTGTACCATACCGTACAGGGAGGAACTGGTTCTGTTTAAACAAGAATATAATCGTAGTTAATCATTAGCCATAGAAATAGTATTCAAGTGAGGTGACTGAACCTTCGACAAGGTATCCCCATCACTCATGTAATAATAATATCTTCAAACATGTCTCGTAATATAGAGTAGTACGAAGTAATTCGGTGTGGGTGGATTTAAAGTTTTGAAACTATTATGAATAGCATAGCGTTTGAAATTAGATCCAATTCAGTATAGGTAATATAATATAATTGTGAGAACAAGCGCTATTAATAAGCTTAACCCTTTACCCCCGAGCGTACGGCGCGTCGCGTTCCGCGCGCGCCTCAAAGAGCCATCAGACCACCACAGATGGGGCCCAATAGGGCCGATGCCGATTCGGAGTCGCGGAGAACCTAACGGGTAACCGGGGCTCCGGCTCGACGTGCAGGAGAAGGAACGGGGTGGTTTTTAGACAGTAAGAGTCTGACACTCCCTTCCGCCTCACCCAGGCGGGAGCAGTCATTCGATGATTTTCCCCCCTTAAAAAAAAAAAAAACCCTTTACCCGAGGAATAGTATTTATCATTTTCAGCAGCCATTACCCGATGGCATGTCAGTCCGTCCCTGTGTGGCAGGACATCGATATGCGGGCACACGCCCAGCGGTTACCAAATGTACTGCGATCACTTTCCTTGGCTCTCACTGTCGCACGCGCAGATCACTCGACGTAGCCGCCACCGCCACAGTATAGCGACGAATGCATGATTGCGTAACTTTATTCTGTGTCACTATAGCAATAGATATAGAAGTTCAATAAGGCAGGAACATGATTAATTTCATTTCATTTCATTCATGATTATGATAAAATTGAGACTCGTGAGCTAAAAATGAATAGGAAAATAATACGTATTGATATTTTATTACGTAGGTAATCAAAAAATGAAGGTACTATCATATTTTTAAACTGAATCACCCACTGGTGATTCAGATTAGTTGTAGCTGTCACCGCATCAAGCTATTTTTGGTCAAACTCTACCTTCCTACTACATAATCCTGCCTACTCCTTATGGAATAACTGCCATAATGTTACACTATGTGGTCTAATATAAATCAGACACACATACTTCTGACACGACAAAAGTAACAAATATCAAAACCAATCGAGTCGTAGTGTACCAGGTACAGGTGCCTACTAGCGACTTCAATTATTTCAAACTCTTCTTTGCCAACTTGTACATAGAGTTGATACCTACACACCGTGTTTTTATGGTAATATTAAAGTGAAGAGATTTTGACACTCTCTACTAATGATATTGATCTAAACCTTTTATCAGTGAGCTGCGCGACATCGCCGCGACTTCCAGTTATAGTGTATAATCTATGGCCGCGACCGCATGCTGCTCATGAGGAAGAACCACTCTGTGGTTCGAAACCAGTAGAGCTTTTCTCAGTATATTCACGTAAGAAACCCGCGATTTTAATTAATTTAGTATGGCTTACAATAGTTATTATAAAAAAGATCTAAACCTTCTGTTAATGTAACTGTTAACTTACGATATGATTATCCGATGCCAACACAATTTGATTGTAACTTCTTCCCAATATTTAGAAATGTTAATCACGTAGCTGTGGCAGTTTTACCCACATGATTGGAATACAGTTCTTATGTATATGGAATTTTAAGTCAAAGTTAGCTAACAGCTGTCTGCTTTTCAATTCTTGACCTACCTACAATACAGCTGTGTCATTTATGTTAGGCAGTTAGCTACACTACATATGAGACTTTTTATTTTAAAACTTTGTGACACAGTACGATTTCTCCTGGGTCAGTGGTTTCGAAATTTTTTTTTTCAACTTCTTGCCCTGTAGGTATTGTGGTCGTATTGTGCTGACAAGCAAGACGACCATTGGTCCACTCACTGAACCAACCATGCCGCTTTATGGGACTTCTAATGTACCAGGGCACAGGGTGAAACATGCCATATTTGCCAGAATCTGGGTTACATATTTAATCTATTAAAAGTCTAGTCCAGTTGTAATAAATTGATTTACAAAGTTTCTGAACGATATTTCTTCTCGAGCTATTTTGATATTTTCGGAACCTTTGTTTATGGACAAAAATGTTCCATTATTCTGGCTTATAATTCCGTTTTTGGATTTATACAGACTGCATATTGAAACATTTAAATACAATAATACGAATTATTACGTCAATGCAAAAAATAAAACTTTCTGAACAAAACGTATAAATGTCAACGCCTATCAACTCAAATGTCAAAAACAGCTGTTGAGCGTCCGCAAGCAAGCATCGTGAAAACGTAAACAAATAGTTAGTTAATGTAAAGTAACCCAAATCGAAATTAATATCTATCTTCGATTTTCAATTTCATTCATTATGGATAAGTTTGGTGACGAAACCTTGTGCAGAATTTGTTTTCAAAAACAAGATACGGTATACTCGTTGTTTCGCAAACGAAAAGGTATTTCCCCGAGTGAGAAGTTGAATAAAATTGGTGTTAAAGCTGATCTCCACGACACGGGGCCATCTTGCATATGTTGTGACTGTTTAGCCGAGTTGGAGACTACGGTCAATTTCTTAGAGAAATGTGAGAAATCAAACCGAGTACTGGCTGAGTACTTAGCGGATAGTGTGAAGGACAATACTGCTGTACATTGTGATAGTAGAGTGGTAGAGTATAGCCAGGAGGAGTGCGAGTCTGTTGGTAAACTAGAAGTGGACAATGAGGAGTTGTTGTTGGAGGAGCCGCGGTGCGAGCAGTGCGGGTCCCGCCGGCGCTGTGCGCACTGGAGCCCGCCCACCACGTACACATGCCCCAAGTGCCAGAAAGTGTTCAACAGGAAGTTTAATTTTAAGCTACATTTGTAAGTATTTCTTAGGAATGTGTCGTATTTATTCTGCATTTGTCTATATGGTTTTAATCCTAGGACTATGGACATTAGTATATTACATTAGTATCTACCAAAATAATGTCTAAGTAATGAGTCTCAGAATTATATATAACTAGCTTCTGCCCGCGACTTCGTACGCGAAATCCCATTTTTTCCCGTCCCCGTTCGTGATTTTCGGGAAAAAGTAAATAAAAGTATTGTTTAAAAAGTATCCTATGTCGGTCTCCTGGCTCTAAGCTACCTCCCTACCACTTTTCAGCCAAATCTATACTTTTGATTTATCATAATCATATGATAAATCAACTTCAATGTAGTCAACCACCATGCTAATAACGATTTGCAGTGTAGCTAGTACTTGTAGCTGCATACCAATAAAACTATGTGTTTACTATGAAATATATTAATGAAACATAACTGCTTGTAATTCTGTGCAGGTTGTAGAAATGTGGGACTCATATAGAATTATTTAATAACTGACCGAGCTTGACATTGTCTCTGCCAATACACTGCCAAGGACAGTTTGTGTTATTGGTATGCGTGTTTGGTATATTTTAGGCCCATAATTATTTTTGTAAAATATAGAAGTTCTTACTTTATTTCAATACATGCTTACCTCACAACTTATGCAATATGTCGGCAAATCACATCCAAGTAATGATGCTAGAAGCATTAAATGTTTCCTTTTCCTATAATACAATTAGTATGCATGGTGTGGAGTGGGGTATTTATGGTGGAAACCCATTAATGTTACACAAATATGATGAGTTTGTCAACAACACATGCAGTATCAAGGAATGTATGAGTCAACACCTGATGTGAAAGTGCCATTAAATGTCAATGTGTTTGGCATGATACACGGTGGCTATGTGCGCTTGTGTGTTTTGTGTTATAGATGGGGAATCAATAGTTATTTGTCTATTCGTACCATATGTAGGGGCCACCTACATAGAGTGGTGTTGTAAGGATCGGTGAGTTAATTGTAGATACTTGATTGACTAATCAGAATAACACTTAACTAATACATGTACAGCAACGGCAAAATATTGATATTTTTTTCAATCACAACTAGGTATCTGATTGCAGTGCTATTAAACCCCCTGAGACTACTATTTAAACAGAATTAGTATCTTATAGAAATAAAATATTGGCATTCCAAGAACTAGCTACTTACAGTAATAATTTAAATAATAAAGCCTGCAGGGCACCTTGAGGCGAGGTGACGGGCATTAGCGGTGGTAGTTTCTTAACCCTTTAACCACTCACATTCTCGTTGTCACTCTGTTGAATAGTAAAAACATAATAATTTTTTATTCAAAAAGTATAAACAGTTATTTCATATTTAAGTCTTAATTCTATATTATTAGCCGCGGAGAACTTAACGGGTTACCGGGGCTCGCAGTGCCAGTAGGAATGGGGTGGTTTTTAGTCATTAAGAGTCTGACACTCCCACCCACCTCACCCAGGCGGGAGAAGTCATTCCATGGTTTTCCTCACTTAAAAAGAAAATTCTATACCTCTACATATCATTATTGCTATGACATGTCTTGTGCCTGAACAGTGTCTGTCATGTGTTGGCCATGTTATGGTTTGTGTGTTAATGTGTAGTGTCGTGTCAGGAAGCGCCACAGCGGGTCCCGCGAGTGGTGGTGCGCGGCGTGCGGCGCGGGCGTGGTGTCGCGCTGGCTGGCGGCCGCGCACTGCTCGCCCCGCGCCCCGCGCGCCTGCCCCGCGCCCGGCTGCACGCGCGCATACACCTCCGCCACCAACCTCCGGGTACACCTCCGCACACACACCGGTACGATATCCACATCTCACTTTATCTTAAATTCATAATGACCTATGTTAACTAGCAATGGGATAATAGCAGTACAATACAAATTCCCTGTCTAACAAAAATTGCTCTTACATTCTAGGCGAGAGACCCTTCGAGTGCCACGACTGTGGCAAGAAGTTCTCCAGCAAGAATACTCTGCAGAACCACATAAGAATTCACACAGGTTTGTGGTACTTCAATAATAGTTACTGTTTACCTTAAGTATACTACAGAATAGGTGAAGGAATCTAGGATATTGTATTTAGTGAATGCTCAGTATCATTGTATTCCTGGTAGGTGCGTTGCCGTATATCTGTCCGGTATGCGGCAAGCAGTTCCGTACGAACAAGCTAGCGGCGCACATGGCGCGCCACTCGGACACGCAGGCGGGGGCGGGGGCGGGGGCGGGCGCACGGCACGTGTGTCCGCGGGTAGGGTGTGGGCGCCGGTTCCCGTCGCAGGGCGCCCTCCAGCGCCACGCGCGCGCGCACCGGGCGGGCAGCACGGCGCCGGCGCCGGCGCCCGCGCACGCCTGCACGCTGTGCCCGTCACGCTATCACCACAAGCAGTCCTTAAATAAGCACATGAGGAAGCAACACGCACAGGTATGAACACAGTATGTTTCTAATAAAATTGATTTAAATAAAGCACTGTCTGTCAGGCTGAGCCTGAGAGGCTCTGAAATTCTTAGAACTTAGGTTTTAATGTCGAACTCAGTTCATTCTATTGTCTAACAGATGTCGCTATACGCTATATCTTCACACCTCCATATCCGCTGCTTTGACGTTACTCTGAATCTGTAATGCTTCAAGCACGTACAGTTGATTATCAAAATGGGTACTCTCATTTTAGAGCTTATTACTTCGAGTTGTGGGTTGCACAGTGGCGAAAAGTTTGACCTACTAGATCACTAGGTACAAGCACTCGATGACCTCTGTTTCACTGAGTTGTGTATTATTGCAGCAAGTGGTGCAGCCAGCCACACAGCAGACCCTCGACCCCACTGCTGAACTATAATGTACTGAAGGAACTTCGTTCTACCAAAGTATCGACATCGAATCGACTGTACAAAGGCTAGCAACTTAATTAACATTTTACAAATACCAAAGAATTGTATGTACTCATAAGTTAATTTATACAAAGTAAATAATAAGTACTGTATTAATGTGTTTAGTCTACAATTAGGTTTAATTCAGCATAGAATCATGTGGTTTAGTGAAACCTGTGAAAGAAGTGGCGGTCAAGGTTGTGCCGCCGCCGCGCGACACTGTACGTGATCACGGAACGGTCAGCATTATGTTTGCTTTACTTTGTTCTTTGGTTATAAGAGTTCTCAGGAATGATTTGGCAATGGAATGGTGCCAGTAATAACTCATTAGGTAAGTAATTACAAATTAAATGTATTTGATTTACCAAATATCATTTCCTCGACCCGCGTGCTCCGTTTTATTAGCAGTTTGGTGCGCTTGCGCCGTGACGTAAGTGTTACGATGTAAATGGTTCGGAAGCGGGCGGCGCGCGGTGCAATGTCGCTTGCAACTCTCCAACACTTGCAGCTTTGCGAAAATCAATTAGGTCATTGCACCTCGCTTGTAACGGCCTTTTCAACTCATTTTCTAGTCGGCGTCGCACCGGGACCTTCACCCACTTACGGACGGTCCCCGACCCGACGATTTCACGCCCCAACAATGATTCGACTCGGTCTCTCAGTAATGAAATCGATTATTTAGAAACAGTTTATTTAGAAACTTATTACAATCCACTAAAGCTAAGTATAAAAATAACAAGACTATCGATATGCAACATATAGATACACATTACAACTACAATCACAGGCAGGCGCTCCTCGGCCACAGCCAGGAAGCATCGTCTCAGACACACGACACACACCACATGCGATGCGCTCTGTTCATTATGTCATGTATAATGTTGACAATGATTACGAGTCCAATAAATAATAACTATAATTATGGCGTGTGTGTGGCGGGTCACGCCTTGTTGGTCGGCTTCTGTTTGCTGGAGACGACGGAGAAGGCGGGCCGCGGGTTGTCCACCTGCACGTTGGTGGCGCGCACGTAGTTGCTCTGGTAGCCAGTCTCGCGCACGCGCGCGTTGGGACTCAGCCGGTCGGTGCGCTCGCGCTCGTCCGCGCGGCCCTCCTCGCCAGCGCGCTCCTTGTCCTCCACGGATCGCTCCTTGTCCTCTGCACTCCGCTCTTCGTCGCCAGCTCGCTCCCTATCGTCAGCTCGCTCCGAGTCGCCTGATTCATTACTCCTGTCGTCGTCTCGGATCCTATGGCTGGGGTCTTCTCGTATCCGTTCATGATCTTCTAGAAAATATCCGCTGTCGACAGGCTTCTCGTGTCTTGCTACATCTGAGTCGACAGTGGGCGGCGGTACTGTTAGATCCATATAAAACTTCTCTTCTTTCGAGACGGGTACCTTGTTACCGTAGTAGTCGTAATCTCCGGCGGTGTAGTACTCGCCGGTAGCGCGCGTCTTGCGGCTCTGCTTGCGGCGCCGCTTGCGCTTGGCAGGTCGCTCGGTGCGGGGCGCCAGGGAGCTGTCGTCCCCGTCGGTGTCCTGCTCGCTGTGCTGCTCGTACTCCTGCTGCTCCGTGCTGCTGAATTCCCTGGGCTGGTCGTACCTCGGTTGCTCGTATTCCTCCTCGTCCCTGTCTGGTTGCTCTGGGCGCTCGCGATGCAGCTTTCTCGGTCGTTTCTCACGGTATATCGGTGGAACTCGTACCGTGACTGTATCGATTTGATTCGGGTTATGCTCGGTTGGCGGCAACACGCGCGGTTTCAGAGGTTTTTTGGGATCTTCTGTCGTGGTTGTGACCTCAGAGTCATCCTCTGCTTCCGGCAACGGCAGCGGGATCCTGTTGGGACGAGGTCGCTCGCGCTGCAGACTCTGATGAGACTCGTCACGGTCATGGCGGCGTATTTGGTCGCCTAGATCTCTGTCTCCGAAATGTACGTTCTGATAATGATTAGCGGGAAGTCTCTGAGCCTTCTGCTGAGCTGGCTTTCTCTGCTGCTTTTTATTTTGCCAAAATTGGTCGACAGCGTTACCGAATTGTCGCACAGCTGCTTCGCGGTCCCGAGACTCCTGCACGTCTTCATAGTCGTCGTCATCGTCGTCCAGCTGTTGTCGAGCGGCGTCGTCATCGTAAGCGAGGTAGTCTTCGTCGAAATTGTTAGCTCTCTGCGGGTCGAACTGTTTAGCGTCAACTGTGTTAACTCGGCGCGCCACTCCGTTTCTAACAACAAACGCATCGACGTATACGCGCGGCTGTCGCGGTTCGGTTTGCGGTAGTTTTGCTGCCCGAGGTGCAATAGGTATTGGCACGAACTGTTCCTGACTGTCTACCTGGGCTTCAGCTTCGTTTTGAACTGCTTCGGCGGCCGGTGCAGGGGCTGGTGTAACTGGAGTGACGGGACTTCGATTAAAGTTGAAGTTTAATCTAAGATTCGAGGTGATCCTTTCGAGGTTGTCGGCTTGTTTCGGTGGTGGCGGTGGAGGTGGAGGCGGAGCGCAAGGCGCGGGTGTAGTCGGGTTGGCGCGCGGTTGAGCACATGGTGGTGGCGGTGGTGGTGGTGGAGTCGGCTTGGGTTTGGGTCGCGGTGCCGCTCGGGGTTTTGGGCACGGAGGTACTGCCTTAGGTCGGGGTGGTGGAGGTGGTGGCGGGGGCGGCTTTACGGCTCTGCAGGGTGGCGGTGCAGCTGCACGGGGCTGCCCACACGGGGGAGCTGCTGGAGCGGGGGCCGGGGCAGGGGCAGGTGCCGGCCCAGCCAGTGGAGCGTCAATCCCGGGGACTGGCGCAAGAGGAGGCGGGAATTCAGCTTGAGGAGGCTTCCGCTGCACACTGTAGCCGAGCACGTCAGCTAAGCCTCTAAACACTATATCGCCAAATGTCCGTTTCTTTCGCACTACTTCATCGGGGGCACCGTCTAGCTCAATCTCAGTACCGTTCACATCACGCAGCACCAGCGTACCGTTGTGATTGTCGACGACGATGGTATCATTGCTGATGAGCGCGTCGATGGATTCATTGGCGACGACTTGCGGGGGCTCGCCGGCGGCGGCTGTCGCCAGCAGCAGCAGCAGCAGCGGTGGCGCGCGGCGCATGGCGGGTGTGTGAGTGTCGCGCGGGAGGGCGCTGCGCGCGGTTTTGTCGCACCGAGACTTGCTCAAGCTCCGTCACGGGTGACTGGCCACACCTTGTGCTGAGCGTCTGACTCATATATTCATTAATAACAACAGTATATGGAAGTAACACTCGACATTCTCGCTCCCCGACCTGTCCCTAAGTCTTACTGTTTACTAGCAAGTATCCGAATCCCTTAATCGATCAGATTCACGCTTACACAATGTACAGTTTCAGTCTGCATTGCGTTTTAATTAGTTATTTATTTTCTTTAACCATGCTCTCCATTAAACAGTTGCGGTCTTGTCGAAGCGGAACATTAATTATTTTTACGATTGAACGAAGAATATAATAAATAGATAATTCTTATCGCCAGTCGGTGGCAGCAGTTAGACAAAACCTTTCCCGGAACCCACATTAGGTCGGTGCGATACAAGTTTGCGTAAACAAACGAAACAATGAGTTCAATGTTGTTAATATATTATCTGGAATGGTTTCGCTTTTGCAGGTAGGTAAGTGTATTAGACATTCTTTAACATTTCTAGAACAAGGCTTAGGTTTTTTGGGAAGGTATTAATTAGCAAGGGGTATGCCTTGGAAGTTCGTTGTCGTCCTGAAACATTAATAACAACAGTTTGACCCACTTCCCTTTGACTTTCCGAATGAAATAATTGAAATAACATTAATTATTTCGCCACTCAGCTCTAGTGGTGGGTTGGAGATTGGTGCGGCTCGGCTAGGAAAGGTATCTTACAACACATTATTGTAATACGACAGTCATGATAAACAAACTCAATTAATATGACAAAAACCACATGAAAAAGTGAATGTCAATATAATGGCGATTGCGGTCAGCTCCGCTAATTATTGCTGATATTGGGTCAATGAGACGGTGCGCGGTCGACGCATTGGTGCAGTGGTGTAGGGCAGATACAGATATAGAGACACAGTCATAGAGGTAGGTACCACAAAGTATCTATGTCTAGGAATATGATATTTCTTCTTCTCTTCTTAAAATATCTTCTGATTCATTTCGTTGCGGGAACCAAGACAGTTACTCATGTCCCTGGGATGCGCCGGACTTCAGTGTTCCGGTGTTTTCATGGTTGTATCTACTGTAGATCCTGGCTTACAGGAGTTGCAGCGGTTTTGGGAGGTTGTGGCGGGCTTGTTCCTTTAAAAAAAATGTCTAGGAATATCGTTAAATAAATGCCTAACTTTTAATGAAAACTTGCTTATTTATTATATTTCGTCCTGTCTCGTGCGTGCGTTTTACAAACATACAATTTTACTTACACATCACACCACTACAACAATTCGTAATTCATACCAAGTTCCGATAGTTCCGTTCGGAAATCGAACCCGCGAAACGTTTTACAAGCAGTCATTTGCCCGCCAACTGGGCTTACCATGCAATCATAATTTTGTACGGAGACAGTGTCAACATTTTATTTGTTTAGCCAAATCTATCGACAAATAAATGTTATTGAAACTGGTCGCAATGTCATGGTTTATCATTTTAATTGCAATTTATAACTGGCTTCTGTTTTGAGAAGTCTCTTCTGAGTTCTGAGTAGTGTACAAGCGGTTATTGTAGGCTGTTATTTTATCGAAGTAGGTAAATCCTGATTACACTGACCATTGGTATAATATAAGCTGATTGATACGAAGACGTGGCGTCGTAGGAGTACGTAGGTACTCCTCAATCAGCTTGCTAGGCACTGGGTCAAGGGAAGTCAGTGTGCTCCGGTAACCTATATTCCTTGTGACCCATTTAAATGTACGCAGATATATCTACTTCTAAAGACAGAGTCTGAATAGATTTCAGCTTGAACTGACGTTGCAATGTTTACAATAATTACAATCTTACTTCGTTGTTCATTAAGAAACATGATTAACCAATGCCTGTACTGGCGGATCTAGTGGTTAATGAACCACCATTAGGTACCAACCTACCGACTGCTTTATGTAACAACTGCAAAGGACTAGGATATTAAATAACGACTGCTTCTTTTAAGTTACAAATCAATGAAAAGAAATTATTTGTATGAGAATGTACACACGGCCACACATCAATCTATACAAAACCAGTTTATCCTGGTGTCGCGTAGCATCATCTTTCCGCACATTTAACGTTCAGTTTATACTGGTTATGTAAAGCTTGATGTGTAGCCGTGTGTACAAAACGAAGGACATTGAAAAAAGGCGAACATAATGTCACTTAGAAATGATTGAAGCACCAAAATGTCAGTGGGTTATTTATGTGTGCATGTGTAATGGGTTACCACGTTACCAGACTTCAGAATATAACAGATGTCCAGGTGCCACAGTCGTTACAAGGCCACTATACCCGCCTTTTTTTCAACGTCCCTTCCTACAAAATTTAAAATATCTTTTATTTAATACACATTATACAGGCGCTTTTAAAATCGCGTTATAGAATTTATCCTTCAGTCGTGTGAAGTCTACATAGGAAGCTTTTTGCTCATTCCAAATTGTAGAACGAACAAAAACTATATCGTAACTAATTTCTTGATAGGATAAAGGAGCTTCAGAAACAATTTTTAACCTGGTGGAAACAATTTTCAAGGTGTTACGGAAGAATTTCCAACGGCACCTGCCTGCAAACTATCTGTCAACGCCTTCCATATTCATTCACAACTCTCTACTATTTTAGTTCCTGAAGGGTAACGCGAATTAATTACGTGATCAATGAGGCAGCCAGTGTTTTGGCAACCAGGTCAAGGTGTAGGTACTGTAAATATCATTGGCGACTGATTCGTCACTATTCGATATAAATTACTATCTTGATCCGTCCTCTACGGAAATTATTTAATCAATTCGATCACTATCAGTATCGGTACCTAGGTGAGTTATAATTAACTTGAGAACTTAGTACTTGGTATTCTTTACTGATTATTGATAAAGGATTAATAATTTTATTTGTTACTTAAACTGAATAAGAATTGTATGAAACTAACTCCCTATACTTGTTACCGTTGCGCCTGTACTATTCCATTGATCAATACAACAATCAGCAACTTGCTATTAAATGAACAACAGGCGTTACTTAAATATATTAGTAATGTAAGCGTCAAGCAAATTGCTCTTGATTTGCGTCAGGCGCTTGGATGAAACTTACGAGTAGTTTCGACCTCAATCACTTGTTATATTTGTGTTGTTTGTTTAAAACGTGCCGCATGTTACTCAATGTCAGACAGAAACGATTTTAAACAATCCTGTTAGAGGCGGCGCGGCCGGGAATTGGATCATCCCCTCAATGATTGGCTCTAATTGGGTTAGTGCCAAAACATAGATGACGTTATGTTATTAAAAGCAAACAAGCAAACACAACTAGAGATAAGGTTTCAATGAATGGAAACAGTTCGTTGACATTGTGTTCATTGTGTTGTACTTATCAATATGTTGTTATCCCTAGCAAAAAATATTGGCAATAGTTACCTAGTTTTTTAAAGTACCCATATAAGACGATTATTAAAGTACGATGGATGTCTATAAGATTGATGTCTTCATCTGGTCGAAAGTTCTGATACAACATAGTTGAACAGCGACTGCTTTACTAGTATACTTGATTACAAATTGATGAGAGAGCGAAGTAAGTAGAAGTAGTTACTGACGAACTTTGGGATGTAAACTTACTTTAAGTACCTGATAACAGTACTTGTCTACCTGGGAAGTTGAGATGGTATTTATCTCCAATTGCCAATAACGGCGCTATGTATGAGGCTGGCAGTAATTGAATGTGATCGGAGTCGCGTGGCAGTGTGGCACTCGTCACGCGCTTCTAATTGGATTTTGGCGTGTACCGTCAGCAGTGTAACTGTCGGTAGTGTCGGTACCGTTGCCAGATTAGCAATGAACCGTATTCTGTCTGATCGAAGCATAACGATCATATCATACTTACCTACCTAGCTCTTATGTTAAGGTGTTAAGCACAGTCATGTAGCTTTCTGCCTCAGAACATGGACGCTTAAGGCCCCAGGGAGGCGTTTCTGTTTCAGTCTGTGTACGGACAATCACTCATCATAACATAACATAACATCACGCCTTTTATCCCCGAAGGGGTAGGCAGAGGTGCACATTATGCCACTGTACAATGTAACACCCACTTTTCACTATTTATGTTATTGCCATATACCGGGCACAATTCCAGACTCCGTGCTACGGTGCTACTACTGAGAATTTTTAAAAACCCAGTAATACTTTGCCCGACCCGGGAATCGAACCCGAGACCCCTTGCTCGACAGTCGCACTTGCGACCACTCGGCCAACGAGGCAGTCACACACTCCTGTTAAATTGTGCTGGAAACGTAAAGAGCTGGTCAAAAGTAGCTGTTACATTAATTATAATAATATGTGCTACAACTTCGGCAAATAACAGATGTAACGATATTATCTATCTTGAAATGCATTGGTACATGGTACATGGTATATTCAATACGAGTGTAGTGTAATAAGCTAATGAGTATATATTGTGCAGGTCATAGCACATTAAGCTACTCCGATTCGTCAATCAAAACTATTCAAGATTTTCAACTTTACGTCAAGACGATAAAATGTAAAATCCATGTGTTGTTGTTGGTATTGTGTCCAGCTTCCGTGTGAACCTGCAGATGACTTCCGCGCTCATTAGCAGTTATTAATTAAGATGTTGATGTAACTCGAGACTGACATTGTTATACTGTCTGTGATGCATCTCGATTGGAATATTATGTCGAATTGAACATGAAGCGGAAATACTGAAACTCTTCTTAACGTCAACAAGAAAATTGTAATATTTATAGCGTAGGCCCATACTTAGATAAACAGTTGAGATTTACGAGGTTTTGTTATTTTATTCCTACTTTAAGACGACGGACGTGTCGTGGTGGCCCCGAGGTTAAGAACAACTGACTTTGACTTTTTCAGATTTATGTACCTTCTATACTTATTTAGACACCACTAACAAAAGGCGAAGGAAAACAACGTGAGAAAACCTGGACTTACAATTTGAAATCGCCAACCCGCCATGAGCAAGCGTGGTTATTAATGCTCAAACCTTCTCCGTGCAAAAAGAGACT